CGTCTTGGTCGTGGTATTCGCAGAGCATCCAGTTTAGGTATCGTCAGCATCAAGAGTCATCATCAACCGTCCACTGATGGAGAGGCTGCCTGAAGAGCTGAGATAGGGTTGCGCCATCGGAGAAAGAAACGGAGAGAGAGAGAGAGAGAGAGAGAGAGAGAGAGAGAGAGAGAGAGAGAGAGAGAGAGAGAGAGAGAGAGAAAAAGAGAGAGAGACGGAGACGGAGATAGAGATAGAGACAGAGACAGAGACAGAGACAGAGAGACAGCGACAGCGACAGAGGGAGAGGGAGAGGGAGAGGGAGAGGGAGAGGGAGAGGGAGAGAGGGAGAGAGAGAGAGAGAGAGAGAGAGAGAGAGAGAGAGAGAGAGAGAGAGAGAGAGAGAGAGAGAGAGAGAGAGAGAGAGAGAGAGAGAGAGAGAGAGAGAGAGAGAGAGAGAGAGAGAGAGAGAGAGAGAGAGAGAGAGAGAGAGAGAGAGAGAGAGAGAGAGAGAGAGAATATCTCAGAAAGCCTTCGTTCGGAGTGCCGTGTTTGCGCTAGCCGGGTCAATGCGACCTCAGCCTCAAGACTGAGAGTTAGAAATCGCCTCGGCGTGCCTCCCTCACTGTGCTTCATCAAGAGATAGGGCTAAAGTTAGTTCAGTATGTCGTTACCGTGCCTGGAATGGGTTTGGTACGCTTCTTTTGCTGCAACCGGACCGGGAAGGGTGTGGCATCCCTTTCAGTCGCTATGAGAAGAGAAAGGCGTTGGAGAAGTCGTTACGAGAGCGGGGGACTGAAGGACATAACACCACGTCAGCCACCCTGTCACATATGGCATGCACTGAACGAATGTCGGCCAATAGACGATGTTTGGCCTCAGCATGAGGTTAGGTAAACGGAGCGAGTGACTCATCATAAACAGAGCGGCTGGCTCACACCCGCCGAGCCATCATATGCAGAGCGCCGGGCGGACCCCACCCCTTCTTTGCCACATCGTGTTTTGTAGTTCGACGTGAGGTTGCTCTACCATGTTATCAAGTATGAAAATCGGCCATCCAGTTGACGTTTCTAAACGAAACCAATTACCCGCGCCCCGGCTTCAATCAGGCGGCGCATGCAAATTGTCCGTTTACGCCGCTCATGCGAGGCGCATGGGAACGATCACAGGCGCCGGTTGCATCACTGGGGAAAGGTGTGGCCGTTTCAGCGCCAGATAGCGGTGCAGCCGCGAGCGAGCGGTTCGTTCAGCCGCGGCCGGCGACTATCGACGTAACCCCACAGCCCCCAAAGGGTCGGGGCCTCGGCGCTGGAGGGCCCATTGCAGCGAACCCGGCTGGAGAGGGCGTCAGAGGGGTCTGTCGCAGAGGGGGATGTGAGACAGAGACTGTTGGAGCCCGAAGGGGCTGACAAAGCCCGAAGGACGTCTGTTGGAGAGGGCAGGATAGTCACCCTGGATGACCGCTGACAGACGTCACCATTAACGATCGATGGTCCAGCAACGGTGGGCAGAATTGGAAAGGTTAAAGTTGCTAAGCTAGGTGGCTGGGTCTGTAGAAGCTGGGAGGCAGGAAATATCGAGCGTCAGCCAGTGAAGAGGCCAACTACGCGTGGGCCGAATTCAACTCTGCTGTTCTATGCTGACTTCAGCTACCCATGATGAGTTTGAGTTCTGCACCACCAGCTGAGTTACTGTCAGTCTGTTTATTTACGGAGGGTGGGGGTGGCCGGAGAGAGACACTCAATGGCGTGCTTCAGAGTCCCTTACTCCACCACCAAGGCACTCCAGCGTTCACTTCAGCTACAGGGAACCCGTCAGCTACAAGAGCCTGGTCAGCCGTGGCTGCAGCAGCGGCAGACTGGCAGGGTTTACCACCACGGGCCGCCGTCGAGTGCGGGTGGAATAAGCCGCCAAATCGGCACGTCATGTTCTTCCAAATCGAACGTCATGTAAGCCCCACACCAAACGTGCAAAAAAGAAAACAAAAGGAAACACCACGTTATAAGCCGGGCACGTTTCAGGCCTGGAAGAAAGAATGACTCACTACAGCTGTGAGACTGGACGCTCACATAGCTCACTAGCTCAGCCGCTAATGAGTCAGATGGGGCTTCGCTGACGGTTTATAGACGTGGCCACGAGGCGGCGGGCGGCCACTCACGACTGGAGCCGGTCGGGAGTGAGTCATCACATTCACTGCAGCAGCATCGTCACTGCATCCAGCCGGCCGGACGGCGCCGCGAGTCTGGATGGAAGCCGTTCGTTACTGACGAGGTATCTACACTGACCAGACACCAGCATCAACTATGATCCTCTCTGTCGGGCGCAGGGCGCCGTATCAGCGTGAGCAGATAGACGCCGCGTCTGCTCTCATCATCACGCTCCACCTTACAGCTTCCAGTGATAAGAACAGACACCGCGCCGCACGCCACACGTCACGTGATCCCACCGTACGGCCACGGTGCTGTCACGTGACTACACGTATAGCCCCGGCGGCGGTCACGTGGTATGCGGCGGTCGGTCCGGAGGTGAGCGCGAGAGGGAGAGTGATTGTGATGCCGCCGGCCGCCAGCCTCCCGGCGCAGCGTGCATGTTACGGCGCGGTGTCGCAACCAGGCTGGACGCAACACCAGGCCGCCAGGGCTGGGAGTGGAGTCTGAGAGGGAGTGGGCTGGAAGTGGAGATAGAGAAGGACCAGCAGCGGTGGAGGAGATAAAGGGTCAATAGTGCAGGGAGAGAGAGAGAGAGGGAGAGAAAGAGGAAGAGAGAGAAAGAGAGAGGATGGGAGGAAGGGAGGAAGGGAGGGAAAGAGAGGGAGAGGGAGAGGGAGAGAGAGAAAAGGAAAGGAAGGAGAGATGAAGGGAGAGAGGAGGAAGATAGAGAGAAAGAGAGAGAGAGAGAGAGAGAGAGAGAGAGAGAGAGGGGGGACAGAGGGAGAGAAAGAGAGAGTCCGGAGCCTCTGCGTAATATGCTCACTTGAACATACTGATCGACTGCAAACGTCGACGAAAGAACGCCCCAGCTCGGACGCTAGCACTCAGGGATCGGCCACCACATACTGCATCCAGATCCGATGACGATGATGAGTTGGGCCTGGGGTTTTGTACGCGCGGACGGCCGAGGTCATCGGCGTCCGTTCTGAGCGGCTCCACGATACATCTTGGGTGGAATACAGCCCCGTGTTTCAAGATGATGTGCCGCCAGCTCGCCGACATGAGCCCGGTCTACTGTCACCCAACAGACCAAAAACAGCAATACATCTAAAATAGTGCTGGTGTGCATGTCTCAGGCATGAGTCAGAGCAGCGCGCGGCGATTCGTATTCATCGAGTAGGTACCGCTACCGGAGCATTTATAACGGTACATCGACAGTTGTTCGGTGGCAGACAGGTCCATCTAAACAGCCGATCGGACCAACGAGACGATAAAGTGGCAGGGCAGACAGGTAAAGTGCGGTCAGCAATGTTAGTGCTCATGTTCAGCGCCTTTTCTGGTCTGCTACTGTTAGACATTGAAACAGATATGCTCCTACAAAAGAATCGATGCCAGAGCAAGTTCTCGTCAGAAATGGTCAGACAGATCAGCTATACCAGACGACATGCAGTCAGCGCCTGACACGAGCCACATAGCACAAGACAGATCTCGTGTCCAGTCCTGGTAAATGTCATAAGCAGCATGACTAAATGGACGACTGTATCGGCAACTGTATGTTTCTTAAACGTTTTCAGGTAAGGGTCATTGTTTCAGGAGGACGGCTGCAGTTACTTTTGCAATAATGAACGAAAATAGGCTGCTCCGTCATTATGCTTACTACCTTTTAATGCCCTGGCGGCTGGCCTAACGTGAAACTTTTACAAGCATCCTTTCCAGATGTATCGAACCAATACCATGAGCAAGGGCTGTATCCATCTTTGACGCATTGCGACAGTCCATTTCAGATACTTTCGATATTTTACGAAAATGGCATCATCCACTAGCAGCCGAATTTCGGGAGCGTTCCGTCTGGTAAAAGGAAGCACAAATTTGCCAATGCCGGGGGCAATCACCCAATCCATAAAGTTCCGCGGACGTTCACGGACCACAAACTGTCACTTCAGATGTCTGACACCAAACTCAGAGTCAGCACACATTCGAACTTGATTCAGAAGCTAGCGAACTTTCCAGTTTTCTGAGCTAGGTACATCCGGAAACCAAGCAATTGAGAACATATGGGGAAATTTCAGCTGAAAAAATGCGGCTCCATTTCTTGGTGTGGAAAGCACAGGGGTGCTAGAAGCGAGACGAGAGTTTCAAATCTGACAGAATGAAAGAAAGAAAAGCATCCTTCGTCTTGCCACAGCCCCACATTTCGCTTCCGGCGGATATCGGCACCACTACCGTCGGAGAACTGGAACAGGAAGTGGCCCCTTCCGGCGCCGAGTGGGAACGTCCAGGAGAGAATTCCAGGGAGGACGGATTGCCACACCGAGAACGAGTGGGCACGACTCTCTTCTCTACTCTCCAGCAGCGCGGCGGAGAGTCGATATGAGTATCTCTCTCGAGTCGACGAGTATCTCTCCTCTCCCCTCCCCTCTCCGGTTCCGGAAACGGTCCAGTGCAGCCCCCTCCCCTGTCCAGCGAGCACAAACTGTGAGACTCGACCGGCAGAGCCCGCTGCTGACAGAGTCCAGACGGCAGTCCGGCAGATAGGCTGCACACGATTGCACGTCTTCAAACGTTAGCCGAGCGCTCAAAGTGACCCGTTGACCCATTTATGCCCAGTGTCCGCCTTCTCTGGACTTCGGAGCTGTATAACTCTCAGTGAAAAAAGGACACGTGGTTCGACCATCCTTTGTCCTAAGGACAGAAGCAGCTTTATCTAACAAGCTCCGATGTTCGATGATCATAGTGTTGATGTGCTTTCCTTAAGGTCATAAAATGACACTGATGATATCACTATGTAAGGCAGTTATTTCGAGCAGACCGGGCAGACCCTTTCCCGTCTGCCGGTCACACCATCGGGCGCTCGTGGCGTGCAAAGGATACGTATATCCGGTCGTGGTCGTATCGGACGTGCAGGGTACGGTTGATGCCGGCCTCATCTATGTCCGATATGACGGTCATGTCCGGGACGCCGTCATCCGGCCGGCTCCCTGCAACAGAGGTCATGACAGAGGTCAGCAGAGGTCATCAGACGTCAATACAGCCATCCGGCCGGCTCCCTGCAACAGAGGTCATGACATGAGGTCAGCAGAGGTCAAAAGAGGTCACGACAGAGGTCGATGGAGGTCAGTGCTGGTCACTTGGTACGGATGGGAGGAGAAGAGAGAGTGTATAAAGTATAAACTCAGCACAGGGCAATTGAAACGGACACGAGTGGTGCGAGGCAACATCACAAGGCTATGGGGATATATTACACATGTGGATTGTGGAGCGAGCGTATATCAAAACTGACGGTGACAGACAAACGGCATGCATGTTCGGCAATCTAAAAACATATCATAATGGTTCGTTTGACAATGTCTCGCCATCACCAGAATGGAAGCAGACCACTATTCTCCTCCACAGAAATAATATTGCCCCAGCCCTCATCAGATCGGACAGCACCGATGCATAGGGGAGAGCGGGGCCAGTTGAAACACGGGGTCAGATGAAACATGGCTTTATTTTCAACAATATGCAACATATGGCGTTGCCGACACCACTGCGCATCCGCGCTCGACCACTTCCTTTGTCAACGGCGTTTGGTCGGCAAACGGACGGTAATTTTGATTTGGCACTTGTTTTTGTGTTTTTGAGGGGCGTTTGGGAGAAATCGTTTTTATGAATATTTTGTGATATCTCATATACCTTTGTTTGCTGAAAGAAGAACTCCTGGCTCCGGAATAACACCTTATTTGGCCCTTCATTCAGCATGATGCCGTCCTTCCAGCTCGTTTGACATGTGCTTTACGGCGCGTGCGAGATGGCGGGAGCGGATGGGATCAATTGAAACGCTTCTCTGAGGGTCAGTTGAAACAGGGCCACAGGCCGTTTCAATGGACCCCAGTGACCTTTGCAATGGTTATTGTTCAGGGGCTGTAAACATTAAAGGAAATAGTCCACCTTTGAAATGAGCTTTTAAACTGAAATAGTAGTTTAATAGACCTCAATTTTTGACCCCCTTTTCTCCAGCCTTTTGCTTGAAAGCACACTATAGCCTGAGATATTTCTCATTTTTATCATCCGCCCATTTTACCATAGTCTATGTACTTTATGTCACCTATTATGAGGAACTTTGCACTTTTAGCTTTCCAACGACCTATTGAATGTAGCATTTGGAAAAGTAAACCGGACAGAATATCTCCTTAAGAAAGTGGCCTTAAAGAGGAAAACATCCCATTGTTAAGGATAGGTGCAATTGACCCCATGGGCTGGTTCAATTGACCCTCGCATCGGGGTCATTTGAAACGGGCGTAGAGCTGTTTTATAAGCATGCGTTTGGCAGCAAAATATGTTTGAAACATAATTTTACATATCTTAAAATAAAGCCAAAAGATTATATTTTTTCATGGCATTGTGCATTTTTCGATATGACAACTAGATCTCGCTGTGCATGTCAATATATAAAAAGTGGTTCAACTGGCCCCGCTCTCCCCTATTCCCGCTCTCCTCTCCGGGAATGAAATATTATCACCACTGGCAAGGCGACAAAGAATATCACCATCTATTCCAGGCCACAGACGGGCCACATTTGTTCGCTTTTGTTTCCACCGTGTCTGTGTAGAACGACGTTATTCTGGTGGCGAGGCACGGCAAAGTGGTGCTGAAAGCCCGACCCGCGCCGACACAAACAAGGCATTCGTCACGTGGCACGCGTGCTGCGACTCTGTCACCCTCATCAGCACGTGTCGGCCGTGACGTCTGCCGGCGCGGGGAACGCGGTACCTGTGAAATGACGTGAGACACGTGCCGGGGTGCCGGGAGCGACGCTGTCGCTATCCGTTTTTTTTTTAATCGACTCTTCAGCTATAAGTTCGAGTGTACCCTCGGTTCCCTGTCCAGTGCCCTGCATCAAAATGCCTTTTAATAGTATGTTTTGTGCTCTGAATTCGCTCCAAACGATTCAGATATATCAGTCACTCATGTATTGTATAATTCATAATTCATTGTGCTATGTCTACAATTACATCCTCTGCAATCGTCTAACGCCGTCGGTATTTGACGGGAAGCCATCTCAGGATATACACTTGACATTACATAACTGCAAGCAGCGTCACTAAGCATCTTCGAAAACTTCAGTTCTTCGCAATGTTTCACTGACCCTTTCACCTTCCATTTCGTGCGTATCTGTCCATCCTCTGCTATGCTTGAAACTTTCCAGCATTCGGTAGAACATCACATCTAGGTATGTCAGGAACAAACTGCATACACCGGTCAAGCCAGGCCCAGCAGAAGTGCCGGAAGAATCTCACACCCACCCACCAAAGCAAAAAGATCAGCCCACTCGACCAGTGTCACCGGTACCCCAGCCGACCGGACTGGCCTGGACCTCTTGTCGCCGACATACCAGTCACCGTGGCCTTGGCTTCCCGGTGGAGTCGCCCGCCGTATCTCTGAGGCCGAGCTCACGGACCGGAACCGTGCCGACCCACCGGAAGTCGGCCCCCGGCGCGCCGCTGCAGCCGCCGCGACGCCGCAGCTGAGGAAAGGCGAGCGTCCTACCCGGCTCGGCGACAGTGGCAAAGGAGGGTGGTAGCGGTGAGAAGACAGCCGCAGGATCGCGCGGCGACTGTGGTGACGCGAAGGCTGGAACCGCTGGAACTATGACGGGGCTGAAATTTACCCAGATGGTGCAGCACTGCACAGTGCACATGTGGTCATTGTTCGTTAACGCAGTCTCCTAGTCCTAGTAAAAACACACTTGCCATTCGCTAACGCTCGCACGTGTGAGCAAGTCACTGAGCATTCACCCCCTTCCACTTGGCAGTTGCAAGCTCGGCATCGAAAATGTTGTGGGAATGCACGTTGGACGACGTATCGTGTCACGGTCAGGCTCGGTGACTTGGGTCAGACGGGGTGACTTGGGTCAGGCTCATGCCCGCGGCACGGGAATGGCTTGTAATGAGCGGCTAGTGAATCGTGACACCCAGGTGTTCATAGGACACGGGCTATTGAAGTAATAGCAGCAGAGGTCACATTGGGAGTTTGATGACATCAGCGTCGGTCACAGGACGCAGGTAACCATGCAGTGGAGTCGTTTGTGACCATGTCAAATGGTTACCAGTTGCTGCTGTGCACGTGGTTATCAAGCAATATCGAAGGCGATGACCGCATGAGTAGCAGAGACGAAGAGTAAGTTGGCTTTTAGGGTGACAACATAGATGAGAAAGCCGCATTGAGCCATCTGTGACCTTCATCCATGCGTCAACCGTTCTCGCGAACGGAGTTCCCTTGTCGGGGACGGCTTCTCTTGACCAGCGGTATGCGAGATGACTCACCACTGACCAAGTACGGACAGTCTGCGTCTCACTAAGAGGACAGGACAGCCTTTCAGCGACGCTGCGGGCTGCCTGGTCCGCACCCCTGAGTCACCTGTCCCGCTGCACACTGGTCGGAAACGCTCCAGCGAGAGGCCAGCGGCCTTTCCGCAAAAGTTTTTTGCTTGTTATTCCACAACTAGTGAAGCAAACTTCATAAAACTTTGCATACCTTCTCTGTCATATGTAAGCTATCATTTGTATGTCAAGCACTAAATATATGACGTAAATCTGTTAAGTTATGACGTCATAATTGAGTATAATACAGGATCTAGCACCACTTTAAGTCAACAAGGGAAATTGGGAGCTGCTATTCGGGCACCGGGAATGGTTTCATGCACTCCTTGCAAGGTCCAGTGCTTGACTTTAGCATTGTTGACTTTGCGTGACGTCATTTATGACGTCACTAAGGCCATGTAAGTTTTTCGTCAATAACTCCTGATCAGATGGAGCTAGAGAGTCGGGAAAGCCACCATTGGACTCAGGAAGACCTGCCGAATCGAATGATATGCGATATGACCTCCTTCAACCATTTTCGTGACCTGAGGGACTCCGACCTGACATTGACCCGAGGTTAACACCTTAACCCTCGCCGGCACGGGGTTGATGCACCCCCCCCCCCTAAGGTTTTTCGCGAATAACTCGCGTAAAAAGCGGCCGATCGCGACGAAACTTTCAGTACCCTCGCATTGATCAATTTTACACCTACCCTGAAAATTTCATGACCCTGACCCCAATGAAGTTTGACCTGTGACCTCTTTTCCGTGACCATGTTTGGCCGAAATCGCGATTCGGCGTATGTCGGCTCGCATTAGCCGCGCTTTTGCAAGCTTTTCGTGGTTTCAAACGTTCAAACATGTGATTTGATGTTGCTCCCATACATAAGATGGGTGTCAAGGTCACCTGAAGGTCAGGTCAGATCATTGACCTTTGGTGACCTCGGGTGACCTTGGTTCACTTTTTCGAGTTTTACATGTTTCTAGGCTAGTTTTTGTAGCTGAATTCTAATTCAGCAACCATTTGAACATTTACGAAGTAGTTTTGGCGCCTTCGTAACATGTTACGAAGCTGTCAGAGGCGGTTGACACGTATTACGAATACCCGTCAAACCCCTACCGGTTGACCTGACCTGACCTGACCCGACCTGGTCTAAATGCTTAAAGACATCATCTCTGATCAAAACTAATACGATATTCGTGATCAGCACCCCGGAAAACCACATAGCAACCACAATTTACGACTTTCTAACAGGTCCCGATTTTCCCGGTTTTCGGGTCATTGACCTGACCTGGAAGGTCACCCGATGACCTAGGACCTTAAAATTGGGTATCATCGGCTTCCTCTTGTGACGGGCAACACGCTCGTCCGTTTTTTCCGCGAGGCTCTAGCTCGATCAGGGGCCAAACGCGAGGGAGGGGGGTCGTACCAACCCCCCCCCCTTGTGCCGTCGAAGGACGCAAAATGGCCTGTGCCGGCGAGGGTTAAGTTGCCTTCACCCGAACACCAAGTATAGCATTCAACGCGCCTGAGCTAGACAAACACGATTATGCCAAAATCGCGGCAGTGCGACAAATTTGTGGCAAAGTAATTAACCTAAAACCGAGCCCGTGCCTTGTGGCACTTACCTGACCTAA